GTTGGTTCCTAAAGTCTGGTGCTGTCTCAACGATAAACAGGCAAGTCTATGATGACATAACAGGTGGGCTGAAAAGTCCGTATCGTTTCTATGAGATGGCGCCACCAGAATAAAATCCATACGCTTCTTAGCTAGTACCAACCTTCAAAAGATGCCTGTCAAAATTTGACAGCTGTCGGATCATTAGTTTTTGAGTTATCGTATCGAGAGTGACGCTACTTTTGTTATTTTTGAAAACCATGGAAAGTCAAGAGTTTCGTGTGTTAATGAAACATTATTTTTTGATGAAAAAAAGTGCCGTCGAATGCAAGAAATGGCTTGATGAGTGTTATACGGACTCTGCCCCGGGCGAAGCAACCATTCGCAAGTGGTTTGCTAAATTTCGTACCGGTCACATGTCAACTGAAGACGACGCACGCAGTGGACGCCCAAAAGAGGTCGTTACGGACGAAAACGTGAAAAAAATCCACAAAATAATTTTGGGAGACCGCAAAATACGGTTGATTGACATAGCTGAGGCCTTAAACATATCAAAAGAACGTGTCAGTCACATCATTCATGAATATTTGGATATGCGAAAGCTCTGTGCGAAATGGGTGCCGCGCAATCTCACATTTGACCAAAAGCAACAACGCATCGACGACTCTGAGGCCTGTTTGGAGGTGATTTTGCGCAATAAAACCGATTTTTTTCGCCGATACGTCACCATGGATGAAACATGGCTCCACCACTACACACCGGAGTCAAATCGCCAGTCGGCCGAGTGGACGGCTGCATCCGAACCACCTCCGAAACGTGGAAAGACGCAACAGTCAGCAGGCAAGGTTATGGCCTCTGTTTTCTGGGACGTGCAAGGAATTATTTTCATCGACTATCTTCAAAAGGGCCAAACTATCAACAGCGACTATTATATAGTGTTACTGGAGCGTTTGAAGGCCGAAATCGCCAAGAAACGGCCACAAATGAAGAAAAAAAAAATCTTGTTTCACCAGGACAATGCGCCGTGCCACAAGTCCATGAAAACGATGTCGAAATTGCATGAATTGGGCTTCGATTTGCTCCCCATCCACCGTATTCTCCGGACCTTGCTCCAAGCGACTATTTCCTCTTCTCAGACCTTAAGAGAATGCTCACCGGAAAAAAATTTCACAGCAACGAAGAAATCATCGCCGAAACTGAAGCCTATTTTGAGGACAAGCCGAAGGATTACTACCGGAAGGGTATCGAAAAACTTGAAGAACGTTATAATCGCTGTATAGCCCTTGAAGGCAACTATGTTGAATAATAAAAGCGAATTTTGACGAAAAAAATATTTTTTCATTGAAACGATACGGAATTTTCAGCCCACCTGTTATATTCTATTTCTCTTTTGGTAAATGATATTCATTGTACTGGGTATTTAGACACTGGCAGTCAGATTAACGTTGCATGTTCAAAACTTTTAGAAAAATTAAATATATCGTTTCAAGATTCAAATATATTTTTTAATGGGTTTGGAAGTCAATTATTAAAACCAATAGGCGAAGCTCTCTTACAGCTTACTTTCAAAACATTTAAAATTGATTCTTTGGTTTATTTTGTAAACATTGAAATGGGAAATATTGATATAATAATAGGCCAGCCTGTCATAAATGCTAATAATATTGAACTCACTGTATCAGGAAAACAAGTTACCTGGAAATCAACAAACCTTGAATCATCGCAACCGCCTCAAATAAAAAAACATGATATCACAGTTATCGAGACTATTATCATACCGCCTTATTCATCTAAAGCAGTTAAAGTTATAAACCAAAGCAACGGTAATCTAATCGTCCCGGTGAAATCCCAGAATAATGTTTCTCTGTTTACAACTCTTAGCAACAAACGAAATTTTGACGTTTATGTTACTAATACCGGTTCGAAGAACCTTAAGCTGAATAAGAACGATGTACTTAGTAGAGGTTTTCGATTTGATATCCAGTGCCTTGAACCAACATTGACTATGAACAATGTAAAGAGAGTAAATCGGATTGAAATTTCCGAAACTGATTTAAAACATATCAATTCTGATTACGCTACAAAATTAATTTTCCTACTAAACAAGTTCCCTGATTGTTTTGCGGTCAACTGTAATCAATTAGGGGTGACGGATATCATCGAATTTGATATTAGTTTAATGACACAAGAACCAGTTTTTTATAAACCATACAGATTTGCCGAGAAAGAAAAAGAAATAGTTAGGAGTAAAATAGCTGAATTGCTGGAAGCAAAAATAATCCGTGAATCTAATTCATGCTATTCAAGTCCAGCGATTCTGGTAAAAAAGAAAAATGGCGACTATCGAGTTGCCATAGATTATCGGAAACTTAATAAAACTACAGTCAACGATAGATATCCGTTACCCCACATTGAAGATCAGATTAATCGTTTAAAGGGATTTAAATATTTTTGCACACTTGACATGACTCAGGGCTATTACCAAGTTCCGGTGAAAGAAGATGCTATCCATAAAACTGCGTTCGTTACTCCTGATGGCCAATTCGAATTTTTGCGGATGCCTTTTGGAGTATGTAACGCCCCAGCTACATTTCAAAGATTGTTAAATGAGGTACACAAAAACTTGAGACACGATAAAGTAATTGTTTACCTTGATGACATTCTAATACCTATTCATACCATTGAACAAGGTTTAGAAATTCTGGAGACCGTATTATTATTATTCCGAAAAGCTAATTTAACTTTAAATCTGGAAAAATGTGTTTTCTTTGTCTCCGAAATAAATTAATTGGGATACGAAATAAGTGAGTTTGGTATTAGACCGAGTCAAAGGAAAATACATGCTGTTTGCAATTTTCCACAACCACAAAACATTCATCAACTGAGGCAATTTCTAGGTCTTTGCTCCTATTTTCGTAAATTTATTCAAAATCACGCGCTAATTGTGGAACCACTGAGTAAGTTATTGAGGAAAGATGCAAAATGGCAATGGAGTGAATGTCAAAACAAAGCATTCGATCAGATAAAGAACATTTTAGCTACGAGGCCACTATTAGCTATTTTTAATAGTAAATTAAAAACTGAATTGCACACAGATGCAAGTAATAAGGGACTAGCTGGCATGTTATTGCAACAACATAGTCATGGATTGAAGCCAGTCATGTATTTTAGCAGAAGTACTACTAGAGAGGAAAGTATCTACCACTCGTACTAGCTTGAAACTCTAGCAGTTATTGAATGTGTCAAACGATTTAAAATATTTTTAACGGGCATCCATTTTAAAGTAGTCACGGACTGTGTCGCAGTAAGAGCAACATTTAATAAAAAAGATTTGGTCTCACGTATAGCGCGATGGTGGCTAACAATTCAAGATTTTGATTTCGAGGTAGAGCACAGACCTGGAAGTAAAATGCTTCATGTTGATGCTCTCAGTTGAAATATTCCTACAGTGAATGTAGCACACATTGCAACTGAGGACTGGTTAAGTTTTGTACAAATTCAAGATGATGAAACACGGTTAATTAAAGACAAGTTAAAACAACCCAATCCGGATAGAGAATTAAAAAATACTTATGTCATCGAAAATGAACGTTTATATCGTAAAACGGCTGATGGTAAAAATAAACTTGTTATTCCAAAGTATGCTAAATTTCATCTATTGCGAAAATACCACGATGATATAGGTTACATAGGGTTACAGAAATGCGAAAATCTAATTAAAAGTCAATTTTGGTTTGAAGGTATGACAAGATCTATAAAAAAATATATTAACGCATGCCTAGATTGTGCATATAAACGTGGTGAGTATGGTAAAAAAGCAGGCTTTTTGTTTCCATTACAAAAGCCATCAGGACCAATGCACACATGGCACATAGATCATTTGGGACCATTTTGTTAAAGTTCCGGATTCTCCTACAATTTTATAATAGTCGATTCATTTTCAAAATATTTATTTGCTCGCCCGACGAAAACAACAAATGCCGATGAAGTAATTTACGCATTAAGAGACTTATTTAGCATGTTTGCGGTTCCTAAAAGATTAATATCTGATTGCGGCAAAGCTTTCAAATCAAAACGTTTCAGGGAATTCATAATGAGTCATAAAATTAAGCATGTTTTAAATACAGTATCGTCACCAAGGTCTAACGGACAAGTAGAGCGTTACAATCGTGCTCTTTTAGATGCATTGAATACAAGTATTCAAGATGAAATTGAGTGGTACCAAAAACTACCGCAAGTTGTGTTGGGCATAAACAACACAATAAACAGTAGTACGAGATTTACTCCTCATAAGCTTATGTTTGGCTTTGATCGTAACATTCTAGGAAACCTTGGTGAGGATACTGTATCTGACATCAATAGATCTGAAAACCATAAACAGGCTATTGATAATATGGAAAAACAAAGAAGTCGAATGAAAAAATACTTTGATGCCAAAAGAAAGCCGGCTCATAAATATAAAACACATGATCTTGTGCTATGGTCTGGGGCAACTAAAAGTGATAAAGATATAAGCAGATATGAAATTACGGCTTTAAAAGGTCTTAAAGGTTACAGAAAATATAAAGCAGTAGTTGCAGCTGAACAGTTAAGACCATACGTGAAAGGTATTAGTGATTCGGACGAAAGTGATTCAGAAGTTAACAGTACTGATGAATTAATAGACCTGTTAGAAGGTTGAAAAAAAAATGCATACAATGAGTTAACGAAGTAGGTCTGTTAGAAGACATGAGATATAAAAACATTTTATAAAATAGGATGTATATTGATTAAGTAGGCCTGTTAGAAGATACTAGCTATAGTATAAATATGTGAAAGAATAAATGCAGGACTGTTAGAAGTCGATTGTAAAACATATACATATGTATGTACATAATAGATAATAATATGTATGTATGTAGGTAGCATAGAAAGAACTAAGTATAGAGTATTAAGAGTTTGTTATCAAGTAATTGCACACATTTTGTTGTCTTTTTTTAGGAATAACAAAAACAGGTAGACGCGATGACGCTTTCTGCAGGATGGCCGAGTGTTTGGAAACGATCGAACCAGCTGTATCAATATGTACGTGTGGTCTGGGTGAGTCACCACGGACCGGTCGGCAAGAACGACGGGAAAAAACACTCTGCCGAGCTGCAAAAAGTGATTCACATAGATATTGTATTTATTCGCAGTTTTACCATTCGATGTAGAAAGTGGTACTTGTTCGTTATTAAAAGAAGTTTGTTCAAAACGCATAGTTCGCTTAATTTACAAGAGGCTGTATTTTAACATAATTTAATTTCGTTTTATCAAGGAGTTAAGCAGCAAGATTTTCCCAAAATTCTTGCACTGGCCTTGGCAACTTGCTCCATGTTCGGTACAACGTACTTGTGCGAGCAGATGTTTTCTTTAATGAATTTGAACAAAACTGAAAACAGGTCTTTGTCTGATGTGTCCTTAGAGGCGATACTCAGAATTTACATTGCTCAAGCCACTGTACCAAATATTAGAAAACTTGTTGAAGCGATACGCTTTCAAAGACCACCTTAAGAATAAATGTGTTTACGTCGAAATTATGAACATTATTTTATCACCCGCGCGTTGACTCGATCAGACCAATTCAAATGTCAATACGAATATCACTCCACTCATTTTCCGTTGGGGCTGGGAGCCGGCGAAATTAAACCTTATCGCTGATTCGACTAAACTTAGTAATAATATGTAGTTTTTAAGTAAATGAACAAAAAGGGCTTGATATGCCGATGAAAGTACATACCTGTGATATCGACTTGAAGATACAACGTGACGGTAGGATTTTACCATAACTTATACGTATATCAACGGTCATGACGTTTCATATTATTCATTTTACATATACTTTCAAACATCTAGAATCCTGGTGTTAAACTGACAGACTCAAATGAGCTTTTAAATGCAAGCATGAAGCATACAAACAGGATGTATTATTTTTATCTATTTGCATTGCCTGCTTTCAGTCGGTACGACAGAAACTTCTGGCGGCAATCAGTTTGTCATACCATGTTTTTCCAAATGAGCCTGAAATTTCCATCAAACCCTGTAGGCTTCATTGGATTCAGTGAGGACGGTGAAATTTTCTTGTCACGCTGTATCTTTAAGTCAGTATGAGAGGTACTTCTGGCAGGATGCAGGATGTCTTACTGAGCTCTTCTTGTTCATTTACTTAAAAACTACATATTACTAAATTTAGTTAATAATAATAATAATAATAATAATAATAATAATAATACGCCTTTATTTTACCTGGCGGGTGCATCAGCTAATAGCTGCTTTTGGTACCAACCAGGGCTACATAAGTTTAACAAACATAAAAAAATCACAGATACAAAAAAAATAATGATCAAGACATATAGTACTGAAAAGTGACAAATACAACATAATAGTGTGTAAAATGTGAAGACAGATTTAAATCACATTCACTCACACACTCACTGAAACAGAAATAATGAAAAAAAAAGACCACAACCAGACACTTAATGTAGAATCACAGCAGTTACAAGATGAAAGCTTAGCATAGAATTAGGTATTATCGAGAACAAATTGCTTTATTTTAACTTTAAAATTATTGTTACTCAAACTTTTCAGATCTGATGATAGACAATTATAAAGGGAAGGCGCTATGTATGAGAAGCACTTTGTGAATTGTGTTGATTTATGGGGGGGGCATATCGAGGGTATAACCTACAAAGCGTAAGTTCGCCGAGTGATGCTGACTTCTAAATGAGAGTTTGCTGCTCAGATATGCTGGATATTTGGTTAATAGGACTGTCTGTACTATGACCAACAAGTGTACAATCCATCTCTGACGCATCGTGAGCCAGTTGACATCCTTAATGTATCTAGTAATGTGTCCCCTTCTCGGAACACCTAATGAATACCTGATACAACTATTTTGCACTTTTTGTATCCTATAAGCTTCCGTCTGTGTCAGGCATGGACCATACACCGCATCAGCGTATTCGACTTTGCTGAGAATCAAAGAGTTACAAAGCTTGATCTTGGTTTGACTAGATAATACATGTTTATAACTGTAAATTGTCTTGAGCTTAGCATATGAATTTTGCACAACCCTGGAAAGGTGATCGTGAAACGTGAGATGTTCATCTACTATTACTCCTAAATTTTTCACGGATTTTATATGAGGCAAGTCTCCACCTTCCAGGTGTAATTTTATCAAGTTACTATCGAAATTACTTTGTATGGACTTAATAGTTATGACAGCAGATTTGTTTGAATTGATAAGTAACCCGTGATCGTTATACCACTTTGCAACACGATCTAGATCACAAGACATTCTCCTGTTTGCCTCCAGGAAATCGAAAGGACGGTAAGACAAATACAGTTGGGTATCGTCAGCGTAAGACTGAATAGAACAATATTTAATGTCACGACTTAGATCGAACGTATACAAAGTAAACAAAATTGGCCAAGTATGGAGCCCTGCGGTACCCCCTTCAAAATCGCACGCTTATCGGACATACAGCCGCCTACATTGACTAGCTGTGACCGCTCATGCAAGTAACTCCTAAACCACGTAACAGTACTATCAGAAAATCCAAGATAATGCAGCTTACCAAGAAGCAATTCATGATTGATAGAATCGAAAGCTTTGCTGAGATCAACTAGAATTGACGTTGTGACGCAAGATTTATCCATAGCTCTGATATAGTCATCACATATGTTTATCAAAGTGGTAACCGTACTGTGACCTTTCCGAAACCCCGACTGAACATTTGGAATCAAACTGTTTTTATTTATGTGTCCTAGTATTTGCTCATAGACAATTCTTTCCAGAATTTTAGATAGCAATGGCAGTATACTAATAGGCCTGAAATCACCAGGTGCTATCGGATCATCAATTTTTGCAAGAGGTCTAACCATAGCGGCTTTCCATAGGCTCGGCACGACACCTTTTTCTAGTGAAAAATTTATAATGTGTGTTAATGCATCGATACAGTATGGAATTAGGGGAATCAAAAGATCTAAGTTTAGGCCATCCAGACCCTTTGCACATGACTTAATTTTAGAAAAAATATCCAAAACCCTTTCTTTAGTAACAAGTTTAAAGCTAAACGGTTGAACTGCAGGGGAAAGATGATTTGTGTTATAGAATGTCCGTAAGTAGTTATTAACCTTATTGACGGGAATAGAGTCTATGAAATAATCATTAAGCATGTCAGGCTGTATTGAACACCGGTTATCATTTTTAGAACCATGAACGCCAAGGTTTTTGATAGCATTCCACCATTCTCGACTATTGTTGCTTTGTCTCAGTTTATATTCAATGTAAGCTTTCTTTTCCCTCCAGAAAGAGGCTGTGACAAGATTTCTAAGCTGTTTATAATATATCCATTTTGAAGCTATTATTTCACTGGGATACTTGTTCTTTACTGCTTTAATATATTGAGAATAAGCCTTATTTCGCAGTCGCATCATAAATTTGATATTAGTAGTAATCCAAGGATACCGTGCTTTGGTAATCTTTTTGGTTTTGAAAGGAGCACAAACGTTGAGTACATTTTCAACCAATTCATAAAAATATCGCAACTTGTCTTCAATGCTTTCTAAATGGACTACATCTAACCAATAGAGAGACGATGCAACTTCTTTTAATAAGGAGTGATCGATGTTTCTTATGTCTCTAGTAAGTACATATTTCGGACACCTAACATTTTTTTCACATTCAATGCAGAAATATACCAAACTGTGGTCAGAAATGGTGGGGAGACAGACGAGACCTGTTTTAGTAATGCTTAGTTCTCTGTTCACAAAAACAACATCTATAAGGCTGCCACTATTGTTAGTTACTCTTGTCTTTTCGTTCACAATTTGTTTGAAATTAAGATCCTGGATAAATGTTGATACGAATTTAAAATCTGGGCTATTAGTATTATGGAAATTGATATTCAAATCACCCATGCCAATAATATCCTCGGATGTAGGAAGAAGAGATGCTAGCATCTCTTCTAGCGATGTCAGCGAGTTGTAGTGAACATCAGGAGGCTTATATATAACTCCAACATTGATTGTTTTTTTATTAACCTTGATCTTGATCCAGAGTTGTTCAAAACCATCATTCTGAGACACTTGTAGAAAAGAGCACCTAAGTCCTAACCTAACGTACAAAGCAACTCTCCCCACCTCGCCTGTCTTGCCTATCAGATCTGAATAGCTGATAACCTGGAATATGAACACTTGAATCAATAATACTTGGCTTCAGCCACGTTTCAGTTAAGCAGATGACATCAAAATTTTGTGATAGTATATATTCTTTGAGATCACAAAGTGAACTAGTTAATGATCTCACATTTAGGCATGCTATCATTAAATTATGCTCCTCGTTCTCGATAATGTCGAAATCAGATAAAACAGACATGTAAAGTAAATCACATTATAATAACTAATTTCCAAATAGAAAAAAGTAATAAAATCAGACACAGAAGAAAATAACAAAAGAGGATAGAAAAAATGTATTTGTTGTGTGGATTAAAAGATGTAAAAAAAAAAATAATAAAAATAAAACCGGATAACCAAGACACAAGAGCAAAAAACTATATGGAGTAGTTGGTTTTACTTCGAATAAAGTCCTGAGTTTTTTGTAGGCATATACATTTGCTATCCCACACAGCATGATACATATCAAGGCTTTTATTCTGTTTATTATTGGCATTTGCACAATTATTGCAACGTCGTGAATTGTTTTTGCAATGCTTCATATCATGGCTACCAGAGCAAAGAGGGCAGACTGTTTGATTTCTACAACTTGTTTGAATATGCCCATATTCACAGCACTAATAGCAACGAACTACTGATATATGCTCATACGCATGACACCTGTTCCACCCAATATTTAATTTACCCTCTTTAATAATCGAATGATAAGACAACGGATCTACATCTGCAATAAAATCAAACTTTCCATTTTTTATAGGATACTTAAAAACAATATTGAAGGTATGTTCTTGATGGCTCAACAAACCACTATTCTGATTGATAATTTTACTTTTTAGGACATTGTTATCAGTTTCGAACAATTGACTGCTAGCACCTGTAACTTT